GTGTTGAAATTAACTTGCTTTAGCTAAAAGACGATATATTTAAAACTGGAAAGTTAAAGGAGAGGATATAATGAAAGAGTGAAAATAAGGCATTAATTAATATATTAATGTATTTTAACGATTTTTATTTATTTTCGTCTTGTTTTTATTTTTAGTTTTAACAAAATTATAATTTGTAACGTATGTTTATATTGACCCTATTCATCTGAGTAGTGGGGGCGAAATCAGACAAACGGGCATAATTATGTTTATGGTTTGGTTTGGTTTGGTTTATTGAGATTACGGAAAAGCACACTAGCGCTATCTGCCTAAGGGGAGGGATGCCTTCGTGGAGGACTTTCTGAGGAAAACTGGCTCGTGTATACGTTACACATGGGGAAAACCACGAAAACGCCCATGCAGCCAGCACGTTCGCGGGATTCGAACCTCGGACCGAACTACCACTGTTCAGCGACTTTACCGCTCGGCCGCTGGTGGGCTAATTATGTTTATGTATGTTTTATTAATGAATCTATATACTCTGTTGATGAAGAAATGCCACAATACGTTCGAAGGTGACCAGAAATTTGAATATATTTAACAGGTCGTTCAGGCCAACATAAGTAATAGTCAGAAGTGTATGAAACAATGAAAGTATAGGACGGTTAAATATCTTAGAACGAGTTACGACAAGAACAAAATATCATATTTTTGAAAATTCAACATTTGCGGCAAAACAGACTGAAAATTTGAAAACATCTTTTCATGTATGATAATAATACCTTTCGCCACAAAATTGAAAGTTTCTAGTTTTAGCAAAATATAATATAAAATCATATCCTTAGCGAGAAAAATTGCTCGAATACGAACTTAATCAAAAATTTGTTGTCCATTCTATAAAGACAACTGAAGCATAAAAGAGAATATTCACAATATTAGAACTCACCTAAAGACTTATTTAAATATAATATCATGGCATAGGTATAAAAAATTTCGTATGCTTAATTAATTAGATGCTTAAACATATCAAAATGCTCAGAAAAGCTCTCAAACGAAAATCTCAAAAAAGAATTGAAATTTTTATATGTAATAAACTAAACCTAATAATTCTGGAAATACTAACTTTAAGTTATGCTAAAGTAGTATGTTATTACTAATTAGTAGTTAGCTAAAGTTAGTTAGTTACGCTATGTGATCATGTTTATTTTATTCTAATATGCATCGGACCTCAGAGTTACGGTTATAAAAAATTGACATTAACCGACTAACAATTTCAATAAATCTTTTTTTCAATTTAAATGAAAGTAAAAGTTTTTGAAGCCTAAAAACGTTAAATCTGTGCTTCATATTGCAAGAAATTACTTGCGTTATATAGTGTAAATCAAAGCACTTTACCTACTTAACTTGCCGAGACTAAATATTTAAAGTACTACGATTAAGCGATCGAGAACGCTTCCCGAATTCCTCAACTTATTGCTATTTGCAACTGAGATCCACTTAAATTATTTGAATTTCTATGCGCGTGGAAATAATGTATTTGAAACTCACATTTACAGTTCTCTAGATAATTACTACGCTTTGAATTTTCATTTCATCCAGATTCTAAGATAGGATTCACACAATCGCTGCCAAAAATTTAGTTTGTTAAATAATTTAATTCGATAGATGATAAAATGCAAGACACTATTTTGAGACGCTCTGTTTGATTGAGTTTCAAATGTTACTTTAAATTTGTAGAAAACTATTCCCAAAAGTTTAATTGTTATCTTATTTTAGCTGCAAATTCTTCTCTACTGAATTACGGAATATTAGTTCTGGTTTCACCTCACAAAACGTGTTATAGGAATACAGAATTAAAGCATCATTAATACAAAATCCAGATCTTAATTGCCTAACCGTTTTTTATCAGGAATTTTTTTGCTCAGTGTTCCCTCAGAATTTTTTCAACATTCCTTACTCTCGAAACAATTACGTATATAATTGTGGTTTTTTAATGTATTTTGTAAGCACTGAATGAATGGAATTTTAAGGCATTTTTTGTACTTCAAAAATATCTAACTATTGACTAAAACTCACCTCTCTGAAAACAGAATAGAAACGATGGAAAGCTTGTCAAGGCATTTATTGTAAGGAAGCCGTAGGACGCGTAGTGGTGTATATTGCTTTCTGCGCACACTAGACGTTACTGCAAGTTGGACTTTTCCACGTCTTTATAGTTTTATACTGATAGATAATTTGCATTTTATGTTCGTTTGGAATAAGAAAAGAAGCTACATACAAGCTTTTACTAACACCAATTTTTATAATCAAACGAATATTTTAATGTTTGTTTAAAAAATAGTTAGGCAGCGAGAATTTGCGAGCGTATTCTTACAGACCACTTGCTTCTGAAGGCCATCTTATTACCGACTGGATTAGTAACAGGCCTTTAGATCTTCTTAGTGGCAACGTTGGGAAGTTTTGATCCAGACGAGAGGTTCTCAGACAAAAAGTAATTTCCCCTCATGCGGGAATTTCATAATTCCTGCGGGAGGGGGAGGAATGTGGTCGGCCTTTTATTTATCTGTTAAGTTTTTAGTTTATGAATATAAAAATGTACTATTATTCAGGTTTTGGTATTTATCTATATTTTTTATACTTTTCTTCCTTAATTTATGATACACATTAAAATATAATCTAAATTCAAGCAAATGTGTACGTATTTTTTTAGTTTAGGAAAGGAAAGGAAATGATGATCGCCTAGCAATTATGAAATGGTGCAGGTTCACATGTGTGCAGGAAGTGAAAGCTCAACTGCAACTTCGTTGGCAGAAATTAGTGCACGGTCGTGCATGCATGTAGGTTAGAACAAATATAGATTATCAGCTCCAAGTAAGTATAGTTTATGAACTTTAACTCTTATATTAAGTTCAAGTATAAATGCCTAAAGTCAATGGAGCACTGCAGTTTAAGACAAATTTTATATGTTGTATGAAAAGCGTTATTTTCTGAATATGTTCATATTATAATTAAGACACAATAACACGCCGAATAAATACTAATTCAGAAGTCAAACACCACCTATTCCTTCTCTCCTTTGCTTTTTCTTGAGGAATTTGTTCGTAAACATCGAAACTAGTCCTGTGAAAATTTTGAAAATATAACGCTGATTTTTGTTGTTTGACTTCTGAATTAGTATGTTCATATTACATGAACAGTATTAAAACGCATAGATATTTTATAAACACTCCATATGTTTATTTGTTTTTTCAATATATGATATTTGTTCAGAAAGTTTCATTTTATTCTATTACGTTCCGTGCAAAAGTTGCATAAGAACATTAATTGATCAGAATATTAATAACAAAAACAAACAGCAAGATCTTTTGCTTTCAAAACATTAGCACTATAATCATATGTTTTGATTGAAATATTTCGTATACAAGCCTATTAACTAGCCAGTTACCGAGAGTGTAAAATTGCAGCATATCTACAATTCTATTTTACTTTTAATAATGAAAGTGAAGGAAGTTGCCATGTACAGTTTTCCTATGATTTTGATAATAAATGTGCATAAAACTGTTTTACAGCTCACTTCCCGTTGAACAACGTAGCTTTTATTAAATTTGTAATAACGTATGACATGCACATAACTTAACATTATAATAATGTTTTTAAGAACATCGCGTAAAATCGAAGTATAATAGACTAAGTGATGCTTCTGATGACATTTATTAGTCATTTTATGTCTATTATATTCTTCCTAACAATTCTGATGTACGTAAAGCTTCGAAAACTGTCTGAATCAAAAGAATAAAAAATAATTAAATAAAGTTAGAAAATCAGAACTTCTTTAAGTTAAATAGCAATATACAGACTATAAGGTTTTAAAATCTAATTCACAAAAATGACCAAATTTTAATTTTTGAGAACCTTTATGAATCACTGTAAATGAATTCAGATTTTCCTTGTGACCTTCAATTGTCTAAACATTGACAATCCTTTTCTAAAACTGAAGTTAAAACCAAATTTAGGCAGTTTAATAATCTAGTAAAATACTCATACGATTTGCAGTTTTATCAAAAATATTTCATAGCAGAAAACATTATATGCACAAATAAATTATTTCTTACCTAAAAATATCTGTGTCGCGTCGTTTATCTGGTGGACTGGGGTTGCTGAAGCTCGTGCAGGTGGTGGTTGTTGTGGACTTGTCCCTTGGTGGGTCGTTCGTCACTTCTGAGGCTTGCCGTGTCTTTTTCACGTGCCTTCTTGCTCTAGATCTAGCAGCCATAAATATTCTTATGTATACAAAAACCATAACAAATGCGGGGATGTAAAATGATCCCAAAGCTGAGTACAGTACATAACCGACATCGTCACTAAGAGAGCAAGATGGATAATCTTCAGGTCTTTCCTCTTTTTTCCAGCCTAGCAGCGGTGGTAAAGATATAAGAGCTGATAATGCCCACACGAAACATATCATGAGAACTGCTCTGGTAGGTGTCCTTTTCTTAAGATATTCTACAGCTTGTGTAACAGACCAGTATCGGTCTAAACTAATCAGACATAAATTGTTTATGGAAGCTGTGCATAATAGAACGTCCAAAGCAGCATGTATTTCACACCAAACGGTCCCAAAGATCCAGTAACCCATCAGTTCCTTTGCTAGTGAAAAGGGCATTATTACTAGTCCGACTAGAAAGTCTGAAACTGCCAGTGAAGCAATGAACCAGTTCTGAACTGTTTTTAGCGCTTTTTCTGTTGCTATTGCGATGCACACGAGCATGTTTCCAACCACGATAACCACCATGATGAATGTGACGAAGAATGCTGTAACTATGATTCGTAGTTGCGAATACCCGCTAGGGTACTGAGAGCCGTTCCACGTGTAAGGCCCGAAGTCTTCTTCAGGAGGAATATCATGTGCACCACTCCATGATATATTATTATAAGCTGCTATAAAAGGAGGAGAAGTTCCATTCAGTTCTACTGGCAATGCAGAATTGGAGTTTTCGGTGTAATAATAATATTCCACTGAGAATAGGTGAGTGGTGTTCGTGTAATTAGTTTCCATAATGGAAATAATGGAAATATTATTCTGTTCTGAAAGTCAGCCGTTCTTGATCCAGGGCCTATGAACTGGCAGTCGGTAAAGCAACGCTCTCCCACAGGTTCTGAAAGCAGGAATTTTCTTTTTCTTTCACTTCTGACAGTTTATCTATAAATAAAAAAGAGGCTGCTTATGAAATTGTAACAAAATCCTAAAATAACAATGTTGAAAAATTACGCAAGCAATAAAATAAGCAAAAGGGTTCCAGGCTAGAAAGCAAAACATAATTGCTCCTTTAAGGAAAAAAAGTAGACTGGCATTTGTTTTCCATAAAACAAACGTCAGTCTAATATTGCATTTTATTTAAATTTAAAAGGCGGTGAACTTGATAAGAAAAAAGTTTGTCTCTAAAAGATTTCAATTTTCTCTTATAAAACGCATTTAGGTTTTTAAGTTCAGTTTAATATTAGCTATATGTAGCTTTTTTATTTTCAGTTTTAGATGTATTTTCAGTTTTAGATTTAGAAGCTAAGGACTAATATGATTATGATCATAAAAATCGTGATTTAAATTCTGAATAATCTTTTCTGAAGTTTTGTTTTACAAGATATGGTTAGAATTTAAATAAACAAGTGTTCAGTAGTTCTTTCGAATGTTTGTTTTATTATTTCTTAATTAAAATATTTACTAAACAGTGTGTGCAGCTGTTTTTTTTTTCAGTTTTAATTTTGATTATCAATTCCGAATAAAGGTTTCTAAGTCTTTCATAGTCATGATATAAGAGACGACAAGAAACCCTGAAGTGATATTATTGTGATTTTAGGTATTATACTTCTTGTTAACAAATTTTCGCATGCTTCTCAAGTTTGTGAAACTTGACAAAATTTTGTTCGTTAGTCACGCACTCAAATGATGCACAAAATCTGATATGGAAGATTTAGAACTTAGCGAATGTCATACAAATACATCAATATTAGTGAAAATCTTGATGCATTACGAGATCTGGAACGTTTCTTTTTATGAAATAAGTCACCTTTCCCTAAATTTAGAAGCGCATTCAATTCGCTTTGCAGGTGCAAGCTGTTATAATAAATGTTTACAATAAAAATCTCTTTTATTCGGAATTTCATTAATTTACTTTTGCAAGACATCTAGAAATAAATTCTATTTTCCTGTCTTGTCAGTGATGCAAATTAATTGAATATGCTTATCACAATTATGTTTAAAATCACAGTCTGAATTCTTTATACTGTGATACATAGCAACCTATTCAAAAAAATCATTCTTTCGATCATATAATTGTCCTTTTGACATCCATTTACACAAATCCACAATGAATTAACACATGCTCCTCGACGGAGATAAAAACTGGCATAGCTTTTAGTACTTTTACGTGACTGTACATTAAAATATTTAGTTATACAGATGTATAATTCATAAATATAGAGATTTTATAAGTGTTAAGGACTGTAATATGGGAAATTAATGATAGTAATTAAGCATGCTAACACGATGTAGTGATACCAGTTAAATATTCAGACAAAAAAAAACAGCATTCTGAACTAATGCACTTACAGATTTCATTGCTATAAAATATGAAGTACTCTTACTTTGAATAGGGAGCATTATAATTATTCGTATTGTAAAGACAGCTCTACAAAATCAAATAAATTTCTTTATTTAAGTTTTATTTGCGATTTATTGCGAATTATTCCAGAAAGAATGAGCACAGACTCGAAAAAACTCGATCTGAAGAAATGCAATTACATTCCGCATTTAATGATTTTCTTCGGAGAAAAGAATGACGTTTCTCTCTTATTTGTGTTGTCTTAGGAGTCAAACTAGAGCTTAGACGGAGTATAAAATAAAATCTTTGATCTTCTGATAAACATATGAAGGCATTTGCGAATTAAATGGAGAAGTCTCCTGTAATACGAAAAAAAGAAGTGTTGATCGAAATTCGAAATAGCTTGGTGGATCATTCTTTATGCCGGAGATTGGGAGATAAAATATTTTTATGTATAAGCTAAATTTTCACTGAATTTATTTAATACATACAAAAGGTATGAGCAATGAAATAGGTTGTATTTTAATTATGAAAATACCTGCGATTGTAATTTCAGTTTTTCCTCGCATCCCTCTTTATTATTTGCAAATTGAAAAATAGTATGATGTAGTTCATAGCTACGAATGAAAACAATTTAATTCAAAATTTTAGTTCAAAATTTGCAAGAATTTTTCCTGGATCTGATAGTTACCTTGGAATTCTTATTTTACCAGAATCATTATTTTTCTTGCTAATCTGCTAAAGTTAATCGCCATTTTCATCTTTTCCGCTTATTCTGAACAAGTAATTTAATCAAAATTAAAAATGAAAGCAACAGAATTTATTTAATAATTAATGATAAAGTATAATTGGAGAAGTGCTATTAATCAGGCATAATAATTCCAGAAAGCAGAAAAGTCACCATAGGAGTTGAGCCAGAGACTACTATAGGCCGCAAGGGATTTCTACTTTGCCAGTCGACAAGAAGGATTATTAGTTGAGGTTTCTGAAAATACACTACTAAATTTGTCTGAGAAGCAGCTCAGTATTAAAAGTTGCAAAATGCTAAGACATAAAGTCGGATTGCAAATTACTTCACTATACTACAAATGAAATAATAGACTTTACGAAGAGATATCAAACATATACTGTAGCTCAAAATTTCAGCTTGTAACTCGAATGAAGCTAATGTATTACTTTAAAACTTATTGTTTCCCCTATAATAGAAATATGAGAAATTCTGCCATTTAATATTAAGCTAACTGACACACGATGAAGCAAATCTAAAGGAAATAGCACTGTTGAATTTGAGTGTTATCAAACTGGGGAAATTTATCTCAAGTAATAAGTCACTGGTTCATTTGTTAAGCAAACGTGTATACGGTCACGAAATGTAAAGTAGCTTGTTTAACAAAAGCTAAAGTGATCGGAAGTCTTCTTAATACGAAAATAGGTTTTTTAGATTTAATTCTACTTTTTTAACTAATTTAGCGTTTAATGGCTTCCTAAATTCCCTGACTAGTATCTGTCAAGCCATTTATTGCCTCGTAACAAGTTATGGCTGTAGGTGTAGCAGTTAACTCAAATAATAAACTTTAAAGAAGTTAATAAATTTTAAAGTAAATGAAATTTACTGGTTTCATTAATTTAATAAATGCACAAAATTACTGCAGCTCAGTGGTACAACACAATGGATAATTTTATGTAGTTTTTTAGAATTAAAAAATAAAAACCCCTAAACCTTTTATTACTAAATTCTTACTTTAATTTTCACCATTATATAGTCTATTCTAAGGAATAGATTTTAAATCAAACTTATTCCCAGACAAATTAACTTCTAGAAACACTTTTGCCCTTCACATCTGTAATACACTGTTGTGCAAACATTTAGGACGAGACGGTTTTTTCAATATAACTTTGTACAAAAGCTTTCCAAATCAACACATTTAATACCGTAAGATCCCCAATACGTAGAACATTGAGTCGTAAGTAAGCAACACTTACTAAAACGAAATCCGAGAATAAAAAAAGCTTATTGAAAAAGTAGCATGAGCGCATGTTTTTTTTTTTTCCGATGAAGGCCAAAACATCATGTGATGGGTGTTCCGCAATAACACATCGGTCTTTAATAGAGGGATTATGATTTACCCTGGATGCTAGGCAGGTTTTCACAGCGTCTTGCCCAGGCTGAGAATGAGGGTGTCAAGAGTTGTTGAGGCATTGCTGGCCATTAGTCTTGCAGCGCCAAGCGAAGCTCCGGAATAGTACTGGTGGTAAGGTATGAGCTCAAGCGTCTCTGCCTAAAAAATACCTACAGCCTCGATGGATTGAGATCCTGGGATCGTGCCGCGCCAATCATACGTGTCAATATCCTCCTCTCTAAGAGTTTCGGCACACTTGCGATGGACATGGACGCATGTGTCCATGAAAAGGAACACCTAGCCCCTCAAAACCGACATATGGAAGAGAATCCTCGTTACAATAACGGGTTCCCCGTTGACCTGAACATGCCTTAAAGATGTGAAGGTCTATACGACTACCAGCATGATGCCTTCCAAACGAGAAACACCGCCACTTCATACCGTACCTTTAATGATGTTCGAGGAATGATTTGCGGCTCCCGCCTCGCCAGAGAGTATGCGATGAGAATCGCTATCAGACTGAATCTGATATATCTGTAAGAGTATCGTCCCATTCATGTCTCTCCCAATTACGTGATCCGGCACACAGAGAACGCCTTCTCGATGGGAAGGCGTTAAGGTACACACCGACAGGGCGTCGTGCAAACAGACACACGTGCAGTATTAGGCCCACGGTAATAATTTTTTTTTAATTTTAATAAAACGCGATGTATCGGTCGTAGTCGCAGTGTCGTGTTGTCTAGCGATTTCTCCCGCTTTCTGCGCCTGTTTATTCTGGCCTGTAAGGATAGACCCATCTGCGGTGTGGTTCCACCCACCCACTACTACTAATAAAACCACGGATAGCTTTTGTAGTTTGAAATTGTCCCAAATCGTGAAACGATGCGTGGAGCAATCCGAACTCTGCAGCAACTTGTCCAAACTGCGGGCTTCCTCCAAATTCCCAATGATTCGACCTAGGGTAAAAGCATCCAGATGTCGTTAACGATTGATTTAGCCATTCTCGCGCGGAAGCAATCGGTGTGATTTTAACGGCTATTACGGCGTGCAATCTCTTTGCCAGAAATACTGATTTACACGACAACATCTTTATACTACTCAGACATCCCCCATTACGTATACTGCATTTGCACTGTGCTACCGTACATCACCTTACTTAATCTCAAATGGTTTATGCCGCTTGCTCTTCGTTCAGCGATATGCGATTTTTTCGACTTCGTCCTTAATTTTGCACACCAGTGTATTTCTAAGTGTTTACAAATCGTAAGTGTTATCAGCGGTAAAAGGATATCGTACACTATGGTGACAGTTAAGTGCGTTTTTTATTAAATCATATTTTATGCTAGACTTTTTTTAACCTCATTCTTAATTTGCATACTTTTGTAAAGGGAGCGGGGAATGAGCACAAGCATTCAAGAAGAAACCTGAGACGGCTTACATCCGAAGTTATGAAAATCCCACAGAAGGAAGATTACATGTAT